TTCTGGCGTCCTCGCACCAGTGGTCAGGTCGGGGAGCTTGGGGGAGGGGTGGCCTTGAGCTGGAGTCTGAAGTGGAGGGGCTGGGCAGGAGGTGGCCAGGAGGGGGCCTCACTCTGAGGCTCCCCTGGGGAGAGGGTGTGGAGGCTGGGCTTTGTCAGATTCCCGGAGGCCAGCCCCTCTGAAGGCCGACAGGCTCCCACAACAACAGATCCATTCCCAGTGCTGCCACCCACTGAAATCTGGAGCAGGCGAGGACAGCTTTGAGTGAGCTGTAAAAACTCTAATTCGTGACTCTAAGTAGGAGCTGGTCCCTGCCTGGGGTGGACAGTGCTGACACGCAGCTGACCACCGGCGCCCGGCGCCATGGCCGCTCCCACTGCCCTCCCGCCTCTGCCCTCTCCCCCACCACGCCTGCCTGAGACACGTGAGCTCTCTGAGCCTCCAGCAGCAAACAGTCACCGCAACGGCAGGGAAAGTCAGCCTCGGAGCTCTGTCAGGTTCACACTGAGGGCGGCCTTCTTCATCTCCAACGAGGACAGCAAACCCAAACCCAAACCCACACCCACACCCACATCGGGTGAGACCCCACAGCCCGCCGACTCCTGCCCACTGCAGAAAGCTGCCCCCGTCTCCCGGACTGCCAGCGTCTGTTCTGAGGACATAGAATCATTATTCCTTAGGATCACATGGCAGATCTATAATTAATTAAGCCCCATGACATTCCTGCAAAACCGCCTCGCTTTTCTGAAAGGTAAATGTAATTGGCCATTCTGGTATTTGGAAGTGCTCTGCCCAAAATCAATCCCTTTAGTTTCTAGAGAATAGAAACGAGAGGCAATCTCATTTTAATTATATCTCTTTATTGCTAACAAAGGAATGATTTATGCAATTAAATTAACCGGCTAGAAAATTATTCTCAGCTGGGCTGTCCTGATTCTTTGCTTTCTGAATCCAGGCTCTCACACTGCGTGTAGATTAATTTTCCTGATATGCAAACAATGCCTCTTGTGCTCCTTCTCCTTTCTTATTCAGAAGTTCTCCTTTCTTCTTGCCAACGACATGAATAATATTTGTTGAACTGCTTGGCTCTGACTACATTTTTTTATGTTAAAAAGATGAAAAAGATTTCCCTTTCCAGCCTCATTGCCCCTGGCAGAGTGAGGCTGGAGGGTCTTGTCTGCAGTCCTAGGAAGCAGAGAAGCATGAGACATGGCAGACGCGTGGGAGCTGCCCTGGGGAGTGGGCTGCGCAGCCCAGAGTTGTGCTGAGCAAACGCCTTGGGAACCATACCTCCGCCTCCCCCGCCCACCCCGGGGCCTCTCTGCCCGCTGCTCCTACAGCCCAGTAAAGGCTGGGCTGTGCCACCACCAGCCAGTCCACCTGTGTGACCTCCGTGCCTGGTCACTGGATCTGTGTATGGACCCTGGATGAGGCTCCGGGGAGGGGTGATGGGGGAATGCAAAGATATCCAGGAGGGCAACGTTGGGTAGAAATCTTAGGGCCTGAGGTCCGTTTCTGCAGCAGGGAGGGAGACTGGGTGATGACGTTATCTGGGACGATGGCAAGGTGTGGGCACGTCACTTCACTCTTTTCAGATAGGAGGGTGAGGAATGGCTAATAGGTGGTGGGATGGTAAGAGACGGAGGAACGGGGTTTATCTATAAAGCACATGCAACAGCGGCTTCCCCTCTGCTCGGCCTTATCTGCAGACAGCACCGGGGCAGGCAGTTCTTTACCTGGGTCTGCCGCAGGGATGCTGCTGTCGGGGGACAGCACAGGAGCCAGTGGCTGTGACTGACAACAGGCGGGACTGCTCTGGCCTCTGGTTCACCCCTCCACCCCTCCACCCCTCCCCCTGCTGCCCCCACCGTGCCAGAGGGGAGGAGCCCTCCTGATAACCACACTCTGAACCATAAAGCACCACAGGCCACGAGCCACAACTGTCAGCCCTCAGTGGTACTAGTTTGCCTTCAAGGACCTCACGACCCTGGACGGAACTTTCCGGTGGGTTTAATGGACGCAGCAGATTAAACAATTGCCGCTCGGGGCAGGCTCTGCAGCGGACGAGGGAGAGGAAGTGAAGGTGGCACAGGGGCGCGGACCCTCACAGACGCGGGCAGAGGTGTGGCAGCTGGTGCTGACACGGGAGCCACTGGGACCTGCACCGCTGGGGCCGGTGCCCATAGGCAGACAACGGTGCAGACCCCACGGTTCCCTTGTGGCTTGGATCCCAGAGAAACTGCCAGTTTCATGTGCACAGCGTGCTGACAGCTGAGAGCAGACGTGGAGGAGGGAGCAGCCTGAGCCGGGCGGGAGGTGGTGCAGTGGCGCCATGACATGCCGCACAGCAGTGACCATGGGACGGAGCCCCACGCAGAAGCCTGCCGTGTGCGGAAATGAAGTGTCGTCACGAGGGTGCCAGCAGGCCTGCGCCAAACCCTCTGGGTGCTGACAGGGTCGTCACCTCGCGTTGCTCCCATTAAATGGAACCAGAGGCAGCAGTGCGCGCCGCACACCGTTAGGGGAGCCGCAGAGGCAGCAGGGTTCCGAGCGGGAGAAATGGACGGTTGTGGGGAGTCGGCAGCGAGGGCTGAGGGAATGTCTTGTTAGATCAGGGAGGCACCTGCTTGCAATGCAGTAGGCGTGTGTCCCCAAGGGAGAAATACCTTTCTCATGGAAAAAGACATGAGTCACGCTGGTCGGTCACTGACATCACCACCTAGTCCCAGGGCTGCCTGCCCCTCGGCCTCCCTCTCGGGAAGCCGGTATCGTGGACAACCGCGATACAATAACCCAGGAAGGGGAAATCGGGTCACTCGCAGCTTTGGCTGACAACAAATCCTTTTAACTTTTAAAATAACTTAAGATGCTACTTAGAAACTATTTGAGTCTAAATTCTTTCTCAGGCTTTTTCTGAATTGCTTGGATCACTTTAAAATTGTCAGCTTTGGTGTTTCAAATCCTATGTCCCTGGAGGCAGTGTGAGCAGCGAGGAATTAACTGGATGATGTAGGTGGCAGACCCTGAGTCTGAACTGGAATTTCACATAAAACTTTGCTGGTTTTTCTAACAATAGGAAGCATGCCGTTAACCTGAAGTCAGATACATTAACGTCAGCCTGCGAGACGCACATTCCATTTCCCGCACTTCTTCATAGAATAATGGATTAGCTCCCTGCAATGTGCCAGTTGAACTTGAAGTCAGGCATTTGCTCTGCACAGGCTCGGCATGCACCTGTGCCCCGCACAGCCGTTTCCATTGTGGTAATGAACTTCTGTTTACATGTTGGGAAAAATTCTACATTGTGTAATTTATTCTCCAGTCAAAACAGCCGAACAGAGGGTTACATGTGGGTGTTTGGGGACAGAGAGAGAGGAGTGAAGATAAGTGGAGAGGTGAGAAGAGGTTATCTGGTTGGGGGGCTGTTAGCTGCGAGTCACCCATACACCAGAGGGTTGTGAGTTTGATCCCCAGTTGGGAAGCATACGGAAGGCAATGATTATTATTTCTTTTTTTCCTTCCTTTCTCTCTAAAATCAATTAAAAAAACAAAACATTTTGTTTGATGAAGTCCCATTTGTTATTTTTTGTTCCCCTGGTCCCAGAAGACATATCCAAAAAGACATTGCTAGGAGTGATGTCAAAGAGTTTGCTATCTGTTTTCTTCTAGATTTGTGGTTTCATGTCTTACCTGTTTTTATTTTTGTTTGTGATGTAAGCAAGTAGTCCACATTCACTTTTTTCATGTGGCTGCCCGTTTTTCCAGCACCACTTACTTTAGAGACTACCTCTGTCCCATTGGGTAGCCTTACCTTTGTTGTAGACTGACCACAGAAGAGAGGACTTATTTCTGGGCTCTACTGATCTGGTTTTATGCCAGAGCCATGCTGTTTTGATTACTGTAGCTTTATAATATCACTTGATATCAAGGAGCATGCTACCTCCTACTTTGTTCTTAAAATTTCTTTGGCAATTTCGGTCTTTTGTGGTTCCACATAAATTTTAGAATTAGCTGCTCTGAGAATGTCATTGGTATTTTAATGGCATTGCTTTGGGTAGTATGGAAATTTTAACAATATAATTCTTCCAATCAATGAGCAAGGGAACAGCCTTCCATTTATTTGTATCTTGTTCAAATTTTCTTCAATCATATAGGTTTCAGAGAATAAGTCTTTCACCCCTTTGGTTTAATTTATTCCTAAGTATTTTGTGCTTTTATTTAAAAAAAAAAATACATATTTTATTGACTTCAGAGAAGGAGAGGGAGGGAGAAACATCTATACATTTAAAAGGCTAAGCAATCATCTGATCATCTAGTAGGTATGATGTGAACTGACCACCAGGGAGCAGACACTCAACGCAGGAGCTGCCAAGCCGAGGTGATTTGGCAGCAGTGCCCCAGAACCAGTGAGGAGGGACCCCGATTCCAGGGTGCGTAACCCAAGAACCACCCTCTCGCAATCCGGGACTCCTCAGGGGATGTCAGAGAGCCGGTTTCAGCCTGATCCCTGCAGGCCAGGCTGAGGGACCCCACCTGCCAGAGGGACCCCATTCACTCCGCAGACCCTTCAGCCATGGTGCTGCCATAGGTGCAGCTGGCTGGGAAAGGACCACAGGTTGGCTCCAGGGCATGTCTGGCCTGGCTTGCCCAGTCCCACCCCGCCAGCTGCTTTCTAATTAATTTCCTTTCACTATGCACGAATCTGTGCACCGGGGCACTAGTCAAAGATAAGAATCACTGATCAGCTGCCTCCTGCACGCCCTCCATTTTGGATCAAGCTCAGAACCCAAGCATGTGCCCTGATCAAGAATCAAACTGTGACCTCCTGATTCATAGGTCAATGTTCAACCTCTATGCCACACCAGTTGGGCTACTTTATGCTTTTTGACAGAACTGTAAATGGGATTGTTTTATTAATGTGTCTGTCTGATGGTTCCTTACTGGTGTACAAAACTGCAACTGACCTCTGTGCACTGACAGAAAGGGCTGGGGCCGAGTCATGAACAGCTGCATAGCTTTATTATGAGTTAGGAAATGTCCATATTAAATGCCTCATCCTACAAACAATAGCCTATGAGTATACACACAATGACCATGAGCTAACATTATTTAGTACTTCTAATACTTCCGTTAATTCAACTTCTAATTACAAACATTAAACCACACAAACTATTTACAAACCCCCTTCCACTGGCATCAGGTGGGCAGCATGGCCATTCTCTTCCTCAGCTCAGCCGCCTTCCCCTCCAGCGCAGCACAGCCCTCCTCGGCCGCCTTCCCGATGCCCTCATGGTATTTCTCCAGAGCCCCTTTCAAGGTCAGAAATATTTCCTAAGTGGAAAGGGAGATGGGATGAGTCTATGCAACCATCTAACTAAAAACGAGTTACAAGAATCGTGGTCTGATTCCTATTTATTAATATCACGTGCACGCACATGACAGTGTCTGCTCTCCCTAAAAATCCCTCTACAAGTCAGCCAGACACGTCAACAAGTCTGCTCCTCAGCACAACAAGCCTGGCCTGTCACTGAGGCCTGGTTCTGAGACATAAGGACTTAACTGTCCAGGAAACTTGCACTTCGCCGCTCTCCATGGCAAACACCAGGCACACGCCTAGATGGCTGTGGCTGGAGCCATCACTGACGGCCCACACAGAGATTCACTCCGAGCCCACAGGGCTGGGAAATGCCCCCGTGCCTCACCTGGTCAGGCTGCTCCACCAGCAAGAATGAGTTTTCACACAAACCCACATGCATGTGCTGAACATGAAGAAACATGAAAGCAAGTTTTCAGCCTGAAGATAATTTCTCCCATTTTGTACTCAGCCAATGCATCTCTGATCTTTTATTATTTATTTATTTACTTTTTCAAATTCTCAGACCTTGCGCTGGGCCCCTGACCAGAGTATACTGGAGAGTCAAGGCCCCCGCCATTCACAAGCGTACAGGCAGACACAGCAGCATTCCCAGGTTAAGGCCCCTTTGCCCTGCACATGCGCAAGGGCAGTGCCTCAGCAGCAGCACTGTCTGCACTGCGCAGGCGCACCCTCACGTAACCTGCTTACGTTAATGTAGAACGGGTCTCTTCTGGGCAGGAGACCTCTGTGTGTGCATCAGGTGCCCTGAGCAGCCCGTTGTGGGCTGCTTTGTCCACAATAAAGCAGGTCCCTCCTACCTGCTGTCACTCATGTGTTCTTCCAATTTCCTGCACCCGAGGGGGCCCAGTCCCTGATGAGGACTTGACCCCAACATCGTGACGTAAGAATAAGTAGGATTCCAAAAGGTTATAGGAGGGGCCAACCCTTCCTCTAGAAAACTGACGAAATCTTCAAACTGAGGGAGGCATACTGGTGTGTGAAACTGGCGAGATTACCTGGAATCAGTTTCTCATCAACACTCACCTGGGACTTCAGTTTCTCCCTCTCCGTGGCATCTTTTAGTTGCTGGATGGCAAATTTAACTTTTTGGATTTCTTGGTTAATGGTGGTTATTCGCTCATACACAGCACCTCTTTTTTCTTGAACTTTATTGCAATCTCTAAAGAAAACGGAGACAGACAACTATAATTCCTCTTTAGCATCTAAAAGGCAAACGTTTAACTCTGAGTCAATTCCAAAGTGAACATGTGTATCTGACACACCTCAGCCTTCTCTCAGGAATAAAAGCGAACGGATGACGACCCCAGTGTGGGCGCAGACTGATGACTGTGAAGCCCACACGCCAATGGGTCTGAGGTCACTGTCCTCGCCCAGGGTGGCCTCCCATGCCACTGGTGGGAATGAGTCAGGGCAATTCTACTGTGAGGCAGCGTGGCCATAAACCTAACTCCCAGCTCCGCCCTTTGTTTCACCCAAAGGAGGAAGAAAGCACAGGAAATGGTCCCCCGACCCCTAACATGCCTTTGAAAGGCTCAACAGTGACACCTGGCCTCCCTGTCAACTGTTCTTAGCACCTGAGCAAGGACGGGAAGGAGACTGAACCAAGGGACCCCCAGCACACCAGCTGACAGCTACCACAAATGCTAACACTGCAGCTCTTCTCTGAGCACAAAACCCACGGTGCTGCCAGGCTGCGAGTGCACTAGGAAGTGGACTAGGTGCACCAGGAGGTGGGCCAGGAGGTGGGCCAGGAGGTGGGCCAGGTGGACCAGGAGGTGGACCAGGAGGTGGATCAGGAGGGGGGCCAGGAGGTGGGCCAGGAGGTGGGCCAGGAGGTGGGCCAGGAGGTGCGCCAGGAGGTGGGCCAGGAGGTGGACCAGGAGGTGGATCAGGAGGTGGGCCAGGAGGTGGATCAGGAGGTGGATCAGGAGGTGCACCAGGAGGTGGACCAGGAGGTGGATCAGGAGGTGGATAAGGAGGTGGGCCAGGAGGTGGACAAGGAGGTGGACCAGGAGGTGGGCCAGGAGGTGGACCAGGAGGTGGGCCAGGAGGTGGGCCAGGAGGTGGATCAGGAGGTGCACCAGGAGGTGGACCAGGAGGTGGATCAGGAGGTGGATAAGGAGGTGGGCCAGGAGGTGGATCAGGAGGTGGGCCAGGAGGTGAATCAGGAGGTGGATCAGGAGGTGCACCAGGAGGTGGACTAAGAGGTGGTCCAGCTGGCTGACAGAGTAGAGCACTGAAGAACTACGCAAATCACAGAATTGTGACCTGGAAAGAAATCCAGTACAGCAACATCTCCAAATCTGGACATGGCCCCTAAGACCTGTAGCTGACTCATCTATTCCTGCCTCAGGAACCTCAGGGCAAAGCTCTCAGCTGTCCCAGTGCTCGCCCCAAGCTGCTCCGTATGTACTCAATGACTGTGCGCTTGTACTGCTTCACGTCCTCGTGCTTCTTGTTGATTTTGAACTGGGTTGTGGCGAGTTTTTCCTTCTTCACATTCATCAGTCTGCGCAAGGAATTCTCTTCTGTCTTCAGTTTCTTCAGTTCCGACTCCCCGCTCTCAATCTGGTCCTCCAAGTTCAGGTTCTGTGTTATGAGAAGGACTTCAGATCAATGCAACCAAGTAGAGTTTACAGACAGAATGAACGCCTCGTTCTAGAACACATGTGTCAAACACAAGGCCCGCGGGCCAAATCCGTCCCACCAGGCCTTGCAATGTGGCCCGCACCGCGCTGTCATCACTGCACTCCGCTGCGTTTCCATCACAATGACAGTTTATGACTGTTCAGTAAACCATTCGGCCCGCGATTTAGATTTTGGCCCCTTCTCTGATTGAGTTCGACACCCCTATTCTAGAAGAACTGCACTCAAACGTGATCTGAAAGGAGAAGGAGCTGCCCTGCACCACAGAAGCACACAACTGCACAGAGGAGACACCAGAGGCAGGGACAGAGGGCGCTGATATCCAGAGGGCTTCCTGTGCCGCTCTCCACTGCGTACAAGACCAGCGGAGAGGCGAAGGCAGAGCAGGGAGGAGGGTGGCCCAGAACTGAGAGAAGCAGGGATCTACCCCTGCTCTGCGGCTGCCGAGGGCAGACAGGCGAGCATGCAGTGGGGAACCAATACCTTGGGCCATCTCATGCTCTAACCTCGACTTCCTCACATAAGAAATCCCTCACAAATGCAAAGGCCGTGGCCTGGGGACAGGCAGGGTGAGGATGAGAAAGGTGTGAAGTGAGAAGGGTTTTCAGGTTTCTAGCCGGAGAAATTAATGCTGGTGCTGGCTCTCCGCCTGCAGGGCAGACACTGTCACTAATTTCGTCTCTAGATCCCAGGGGTCACTAGGTCACCGGAAGAGCACTTCCAACAACTGTGCACATGAGTTTAAAGCTTCCACTACTTTTCTCTGAAACCCAGAGCAACAAGCGATGTCAGTGACGCCCATCCCGTCCCCTGGGGAGAGCTGGGCTGAAGGGACCAAGGAGAGCTCTGCCCCAGCGCACAGCCCCAACGGCGCTGCAGGGACCGGAGGAAGCAAATCCCAGGCACCAACGCCCGCAACCCCAGGGAGGACAGAACTCACCTCCTTTAAGACACCGGCCAGCTTCTCCCTGTTCTCCGCCAGGTCCTGTATTTTCTTCTGATACAGCTGGACCTCCAGCTGACAGGAGGGCAGGCCATCCACCGAGTCACGGTACACCTCGTACTTCTCCATCACTTCTTGCTGGAGAGAAAACGCAGAGACCGGTGAGAGCCTCGTCGGGACACGGCAGTGACGAGTGATCGCTGGGCAGGGATGCTGCTGCGCAGCCACAGAGTGCACTTGGACCCCGTGGTGCTGTCGCATCTGCACCCAGCGGCGTGGACAGAGAAAACTGCTTCATGCACCAGCCCTCTCACTGAAGCACCTCCCAAGGTTTCTCCAAGATCGGAAAAGACTCCATTTCTGCCAACACTCCCACTACCGATTCCTCCCGGGCAACTGCCTCCCTGATTATAACATCAGTCCCTCGTGTAAAGATGACTGCTCCAGCTCATTTTTAAGAAGACTAATTCCTCTTCTAAAACCTGAAATGAGCACTGATGACCACAACCACCCTAACAATGCGGCTTCTCTCCTGCCCCAGCCCTTCTCGGCCAGTGGTCGCATCAGCAAACTGCTGGCCTTCTCACTGCTCGTTTCTCCGTGGCCTTTCGTACAAGCAGCACCCGCACGTCGTGGACATAACCATCACCTGTCACATGCACTGCAGGAATGGCCCTCGCTGCACTGTTCTCTATAGCTTTTGGGTTTCCTATCTTAATTTTAAAAATCCATCCCAGACCAAGATTATATAAGTGTTCTCTTAAACTTTCTAAAATTGCTCCATTTTTTAATTTAAAATTTTAATCCAGTTAAAATGTATTTTTGTAAGTGCTGCACCCAACTCCCTCTGCTTCCAAATGAATGGCCATTGAATGAGAATTGTTTGCTAAAGAATCCACCCTTCTCTCAAAACATTCAGATCTCCTTGGGGCTCTCGTTTTTGCTCTGTATGTAACCTTTGTCCATCCCTGTGTGGTAATTCTCAATACTCAGGAATTACCTGCAGAACCACCCCAGAGATGAACCTGAGTGTCTTCCATAGTTTACAAAATTTGCCGCATAAAAGATGCTCAATCATCCACCCGCTTCCACTGTGTCCCACCCTACCCACCTCTCCCCCAGGAAGCAGGACCTTTAAACCAAGTCCCACCACGCCAACACTCCCCCCTGCGCAGTCACTGCGGTGCCTTGGCTCTAAGGTCAAACCCAGCACCCTGAGCCCATGACCTCTGCCTATTTTTCCATCACCTCCAGCCACTCTCCTTCTAAGCACCAGGCTTTGTTCCCAGAACACAACCGAGACCTCAGGAATTTTGCATATTCTGTTCCCTCTGCCCAGTGCAAATTTACTAGGATCACCCTGTTCCTCCTTCAGATGTCAACCTCAATTCTTCCCCCCCACCGCCCCCATCCAATTTCCACAGATAAGGCAGGCTCCCTCATTACACTACTTCAAGGCACCATCGACTATTTTTTTGTTTCTCTTTGTGGTGATTTTTAAAAAAGACTTTATTTCCTGGAGTTTTACATTCACAGCAAAATTGAACGGAGGGCACAGAGATTTCCCATATATAATCTGCCTTGACATGCAGACACTACGCTTCTTCAAAGTACATATAAAACCTGTTATCATATAATCCTACCTAAAAAAGAGTGATATGCAAATTAATCATCACTCTGCCACACCCACAAACCACTCCCATCATCCAATCAGAGCTAGTATGTAAATTAACCCAACCAAGATGGCTACAGCCACAGAGAGCAGTTGACAGGCTTGGGTTTCCCCAGCAATAGAGGAAGCCAAGCTTTCCACACACCCTGGCCAGCCCAGGCCTCCACTCAAGATATAAAGTTTCAATTATAGAAGATAAATCCCAAGAAAAATGGCAGTAGCCACAGAGCTGGAGAGAACAGACTAGGGTTGCCCCGGCAACAGAGGAAGCCAAGTTTTCCACCAGCCCTGGCCAGCCTAGGCTTCCAATCCAGGTTACAAAGTTTCAATTGTAGAAAGTAAATAAATACCAGATACCAGGGCCTCCACTTGGGTTGCCAGGGGGGGTGGCTGACCTGCAAACCACCACAGGCCCCTCGCCCAGGCCGCCCCACGTCCCAGGGGAACCCACACCCTGATCCAGGACACCCTTCAGGGAAAACCAGCTAGCCCCCACCAATGCACCAGGCCTCCATCCTATCTAATAAAAGAGTAATATGCAGATTGACCATCACTCCATCATACAAGATGGCTGCCCCCATGTGGTTAAAGATCCTGCCCCCATGTGGACACAAGTTGGCCACACAAGATGGCCAGCAGGGGAGGGCAGTTGGGAGGGACCAGGTCTGCAAGGGAGGGCAGTTGGAGGCAATTAACCATGCAGGGGAGGGCAGTTAGGGGTGACCAGGCCAACAGAGGAAAGTTGGGGGCAAACAGACTTGCAGGGGAATAGTAAGACATCAATCAGGCTGACATGGGAGTGGTTAGGGGGTGGTCAGGCTGGCAGGCAGAAGTGGTTAGGGGCAATCAGGAAGGCAGGCAGGTGACCAGTTTGGGAACCAGCAGTCCTGGATTGTGAGAGGGATGTCTGAATGCCCATTTAGACCTGATCCCTGGAGGAGTCCCAGAGAGGGTGCAGGCTGGGCTGAGGGACACTCCCCACCCCCAACCTCGTGCATGAATTTTGTGCACCAGGCCTCTAGTCTATACTAAAAGAGTGATATGCTAATTAGACCACAGGTCCTTCCAGACGAAGCTGGGGCTGCGAGGGAAGCCCGGGTCTCGGAGGCCTGCCAGCAGCTGGATAAAGGCCTGCATCACGGGTGCCTGCCGAGAACCGGAGGGAAGCCAGGGCCCCAAGTGCCAGAGGGAAGCCGGTGCCAGCAGTCAGGGGAAGGCCTACTCTTGCACGAATGTTGTGCATCAGGTTCTGGTTATAAACTTGTTTAAAACATTTTTCCATTAAAATAAAGTACCTAAGTCGCATGAGGGTCACCCAGGGTAAAGCCTAAAAACATGCTGCCTAAGTGAACAAATGCCTTCAAATTCTATGTTTTACCCAAACCCACTTTGAGAAGAACTACAAATTAGAGATTTGGGTAAAACACTTAAGAGGGAGAAATGGACGGGTAACCAGGAAATCAGATAATTAACAAATGATTGAACAACAGTTGCCAAAAGACAGACTCGTTAAAATAAAAAGGAGCCGGGCTGGCGTGGCTCAGTGGATGAGCATTGACCTATGAACATGGAGGTCATAGTTTGATTCCCAGTCAGGGTATATGCCCAGCTTTCAGTCTAGGCTCCCCAGAAGGGACGTGCAGGAGGCAGCCGATCCATGATTCTCTTTCGTCATTAATGTCTCACTCCCTCTCCCTTTCTCTCTGAAATCAATAAAAACCATGTAAAGTAACATTTAAAAAAAATAAAAGGAAACTTACCCTAGAATTTTTAAGCTTCTGGACTGTATCTTTCATTTTTTCTTTATAATTCTTTAACTTCTCTGGGGAATCCACAATTTTTGTTTTCAAACTCTCTTGTAGTTCTTTCAAAGAAACTACTGATAATCTTAGTTCATTCTGTGGAGAAGACATTTTAATATGTTAGATGCAACATGAAGTTGGAGATGCCTGATTACAATCAACGGGAAAGAACAGGAAGTTGGGTCCATGTTCGTGGCAGTCTGGGTGGGGGTGAAATTAAGTGATTCCCTGCAATGAGGCTCACGTTCATGTCCAGGCCCCAGGCTAAGCTCGTCCCTCAGTCCCTCTTGGTCTCCTGTGGAGTGCCCTGGCCCTCCAGTGTCCAATGGCAACCTGCAAGCCAGGCACACAGGTTCTGTGCTGGGCCATGACCAGCGTGGTCCTCCTGAGGGTGCCCACCGCCCCTGGAAAGCCTGCCCACCTGCTCCAGTCCCTCCATCAGCACACACAGGCTCACACACCACACTGTCCTGTGCATTTCAGCAGTTTCTTAACTGGCAGGACAACATGGGCGAGTGACCAGTTAGTCACTTTTGATCTCCCAGGACCCAAGCAAAGTAATAGCCCTGAGAGGGGCTATGACAAAAGTTCAATTCGTTTCATTTAAAGGGAGAAGACATAGGAGACATTTTGACTATAACACACCAGGTAACACTCCTCCACACCAGCTCCCAACCCCAATGCTGCTGAAGTGAAAGGTGCTCACCAAATGCTTGGTCCTCTCTAAAATATCAGACTTCTTTTGGGCATTTCTCTCTTGCAGCAATACCTGAGGAAAAAGCAAACAACTCTTTCATAATGACTCAAAGCAGATAGAGAGCCCCTCAGCGCTCTTATAAAGCAAAGGGAAGAGTTGGTGGTTTAGACCAGTACCTTCTCGCCCTCAGTCCACACTGTCCAACCCTACCCCACCCCCCCGCAGGAAGTGCCCACGGCTCCCTTACTGAGCAGCTCAGTCCAACAGCTGCTCAGCATGTGCCAGACGAGAGGAAAGTAGTGCTGTGGTGCCCAAGGGACAGGCTCTCGCGGTTCCCTGAGTCTCATGCTGCTGCCCCCTAATTGCACTGGCATCCTGGGCAGCCAGCAAGCCCTCCGGTGCTCCCATCTGTCCAGTGTCCGCACATGTACCCCCGCCCCATCTGCAGACGCTCTTCTCCGAGTCAAGGTCTCCCAGAACACACACCGTTTTCTGCCGGAAGTCCTGGTTCAGCAGCTGCTGCAGCTCCTGGATCTCGTCGGAAAGCTGCTGGAACTCAGCCTGCTCCTCCGCTGGAACAGAACTGAGCAGAGTGGTGCCAGTTAGCCCACAAGGTGCCAGGTCTGACTCTGCGGGCCAGACTGAAGGAGCGCCTCACAGAACTTCCCTGGGAACACCCTCCACCTTCATGTGTCTGACTGAGATGAACCAGTTGACTCCAGGACATGCTCCCTCCACTTCCCAACCAGGTCTTCCTCCTTGGGGACCACCTCCGTGGGTCCCGTCTGCGCACCCCACCCTCTGACCCTGACTGAGAATAGACTCGGGGCTCCCTGCTCTGCCCGCGCAGCTGCTCACTGGGCCCGAGAGTGCCTTCTCTGGCCCTCCCAGGCCTCCCTAACTGACCCTCATAGGCCCAGGCTCCTCCACAGGAAGGTTCTCAGGGTGAGGCTCTGTTCCTTTAATTCTGCTTCCTGCTCCCAGTGAGTCTGACAAGCTCTCAATTCCAGCCACCGGCGTGCATCCCATCCGTCCCCTCCTACCCCCGTGGTCCACGTTCTACTGCCGTTCTCTGCATGTTCTCTGCATGTTAGAGCCCCACGCAGCCGTGACGGACACCGACGTGCTTTGCTGCACGCGCTGCCAATACCCTCAGTCTGGCCCTGTCGCTTGATCTGCTGCACTAAACCCACCACGTGAAACTGGAATATCTGTCTTCTGTGCTGGCTTTTGGCTGCTGCTGTCCCTGAAGGCAATTTACAGGAAGGCCTGATACACTCAGACCCCGCACGTCAGAAGGGATAACAGTCCGTCAGGTCCAAATCAGAATACACAAGGCCGAGGAACCCTAACTTGTGAACGCTTCTCCTTCTGACTGGCCTGAGTCAACAAAATGCGCCTGTGAAGTGGAATGCTGACAACTAACTGGCCCACTGCGCTGCTGCTCTCCTTTGCGAGCTAAACACTTCTGGGGCAGCTCCAGAGAGGAAGGTGTCCTTGGCACGTGTCCAGCTAATGCACTAATGGCAGGAAAGAAGCAAAAGATGCATTACATCCTAAGAGTGAGAAAAAAGAAAAGGGAAACCTAAAACAGTGTGACTAGGTAAGAAAGAGACTTGAGGTCCACTGAAAGGCTGTCAAATGCTACTTTACAATCTACTTTGCATGATGGAAGTGGCGTTTATTTTATTGTAAATCTGCTACTTACTCAAGTTTCTCCAACTTCATTATCGCCTCCTGGTGAGCTGCATTTAGCTGCTGCATTTTGTCCACAGAAGATTTCTATGAGAGCAAGTTCAGTAACTTCCCATTAGCTTCCAACATAACCAGAGCATGTGCCACATCGGCTGCCAGGGCAGACCGCACACACTCACTCCATACACCTCGCACCTCCTACAGCAACAAGCATGTGAGACGGAGCCAGCCCCTGTGCCAGGGCATCAGGGTCTCTGTGCTTCTCCACCTGGAAGTGGTGGTGGGGCCGGCACTCTGTGCGGCACCAGGAACAGTACCTGAGACGACAGGGCCTGGATGCCAGTAGCCGGTCGCCCCGAGCAGTCAGTCTGATATAAACCATAACCCAGCTTGTTCCTGTGCTTGCACAGTGGCAGCGGCCACTCGGGTAGTGGCCAGGGAGTGTCACAGGGGTCTTTGTAGAAATGACAGATGTCTGAGCTGTGCCTTAGAAATGAGAAGGCATGAGCCACGCCAAGGTGTATGCCCACACTGGCACACACACGTAGGCTTGGGGAGCGCGTGGCATCAGGTACGAGCGTGGTGTGGTTTGTGCGTGGTGTGGTGTGTCTATTGGTGCTCAATGTGGCAGGAGCCGAGTTCTGAGTGTCTGGCTCAGATGCTTTTCTAAGAGTGTGTGTGCCCACAGCTGCGGACAGAGGGGAACAGCCCTTCCAATTTCTCAGAGCTGCTATGAACGTGCCTGTGTGTGACAGAGTTTACTGGGCTGCCACGCGGTGCTGGGCCGGCATGAAACACAAGCAGTGTGCAGGCAGGCCGCACTGAGGAGCAAGCACACATCTCCAGTCTCGGTGACATAAGGGCACTGCTCACATCCACAGGAACCCGGGGGCTCCTCCCTCCGCTCCTCCCTGACACTTCCTAAAACAGGCAGAGAAGCCTCCGCCACAGGATCCCACAGCCCAGTCTCGCCCTGGTGGCACCAAACAGCCCCAGGTGCCTCACGAAGATGCCTTCCAGCAACTAAACTGCGCCCTCCCATCAGCACAGTGCTCGGCTCCACACACTCAGTCACGTGGGAAACTGATTCAAAGCAGATCATAGTTTATAAACGAGGCTACTGGGCTGGTATGTGACCCAGAATCCTTTCCAATCTTACATATTGCCACAGAAACTCCATGTACGTGTCCCGGCATGCTTCCCTGAAGTGGATGAAGTTGATGATCCCGCTCAAAAACCGACTGGTCCGTTTGGCCTCTAAAATAGAAAGCAGGACTCCTTAAATAAATCTTTGGAACAATATGAAAGTGGAAACTACCCTCTCCCACATGCACTCTGCTCCCAGGCACAGAATAACGCCGCATGCGCTGGAACTGGCCAAGGTGCATAGCGTTTGCCCGAACTTAAAGATCGGAATCATCTTTGCGTTAACAACTTTAAGAATGTTAAAGGCGAGCCACTTTGGCCACGGGAAAATGGCAGACCCAGCTTTCCTCTTCCACCTCAACCAACCAGAAAGCCAGGCACAATGGGCTGCCGCAACCCGAGGACACAGCCCCACGAGGAGCACTGTGGTGGGAGCCCTGCCCACAGGCCAGCCCACAGCACCGCAGGGTCCCAGCTGCGCCCAGGGAGGAGGGCACAGACTCCCAGCTTCTGCTGAGCTGTGAAAGCAGAGTTAGAGTATGGTGAGACCAAGGCAACCCCAGCTGTAAACTGGCCTCTCCAAACTAAACTCCATCGCCGACTTACTCTCCATTTGTTCAAGGGAGAGAGAAGCGCCAGCAGTATAAGGAGAAAAAGAAAAGAAAAAAAAAGTTTTAAAAAGACCTGAATCAAACTTGTACGATTTACAGCTAGAATATGTAAAATGAAAAACCCACTCAGTGGGGTTAACGCAGACCTTCGGGGGAAGGACCAGTGACATGAAGGCAGCAGGAAAGCCCAAGTCAAGTGTGAACAGAGCACCATGCGCTGAGGGACACCCCCAAACAACACAATGAACAGGTAACAGGAGCCCCACGAGGAGAAGTGGCAGAGGGACTTTTATACAATAGCTGAATGCTCTCCACAGTTGATGGAAATACAAGTGTATCCAAAGCAGTAAGCTTATCTGAGGGAGGGAGCGGGGAGGGGACAGACAAACCCCAAAGGTACGCTGCGGCAGACTGCCAAACCCCTGTGGCAGTCTTCAGCAGCCAGGGGCAGAGGCAGAGCTCGTCCAGGCTAAGGAGCAAGGGGTCAGGATCCCTGACCTTCACACAGAACAGCTGACGATGCCCCGGCCGCACCGGCCACAGGGAACTGGAGCTGGGAACCCTGCAGGATGTGGGACCTCAGCAAGGCTGCACGCATCCCAGTGAAAGGACGGATGAGCGGAAACTCTCCCGCCAGTGACAGGACAAGGTTACTGACGCCTCTTCCTTGTCTTTTCTGAGACAATCAACTCCTCTGAGAAGTCTAACTGTGGCCACGGCCACCTGGGTTTTAGTGAAAGTAAACTCTGTATCTGTTTCCAGAACCATCAAAATTAGGAGTTAAGATAAAAAGTGGGCTTTAGACAATAAAACCCTGGAAGAACTTCCAGCAGCAAAATGAACCTCAGGAGGGACGTGGCCTTGATCCAGGAAGCTGAAGATGAGTTTAAACTTATAATCCAAAATGCACACGCACAGAAATCACCTCTCCCCAGCCTGTGGGTGCAGCTGAAGGAGGCAAAGGGGAAATTTACGACACTAAGCACCTTCATGAGAAAAAGAGAAACAACAGCCTCAGCTTCTGCCTTAAAAAAATAAACACCAGGGGGACAAGGAAAAGAGCAAACCCAAAGCAAGCGTGAAAAAGAATAATGCTGAGCACAAAACCCAATAAAATGCAAAATAAAAATAAAATTCAGAAAAATCAATGAAAGGAAAGGCTTTTTCTTTGAGAAGACCAACAAGATGGAACACCCTCTAGTCGGAGGGGTCGGAGAGACTAAGTGGAGAGAAACTGCTCAGTCCCAAGACTCCAGAGACGGCGTAATGATGTGGGAAGACAGGAGCAGGGCTGTGTTAATACCCCTGCCAGCCTACGTGAAACAAGGAGGTCCCTGGAGAGCGGAGACCAGCAGAGGAGCTAAAGAGACTGGATTCTTACTTTGAAACCTTCCCACAGAGTTCTTCAGTTATGCACTTACAAACGGTGGCCTTTCATGTAGTGTAAATTTCATGTCAACCAACAAAACAAAAGCAGGAGAGTCTGAGGACACACACGGGCTGTGACCAGCACACCACACTCTGACGCCGGAGCCCTTGGTGTGTGAGCATCGGAGGCAGAGTGAGGGCACCTGAAGGCAGGACAAGCACACCTCTGACACAATAACGTGACTATTTGAGTTTTACTGAGACGTTTCTCCCCAGCAAACAGCACTTGTCCATTTACAGCTGATAAAACTGAGCCCTAGGCCACATTGCCATTGCCTGTTACTTGTGTTCAGACTCTCAAATATACAGAACATTTCTCAAATGTAAGGAACTCAGAACAGCTACTCAGAAAACCAGCTTTCTGTGGCTCTGTAAAGGACAGCATTCCAATATTAGAATAAAAAAAGCATCCTTCTGAATGAGACCTCCTTCCTTGGGGGCTTCACATTTATTCGTGGAAAGGGGTAGAGACCTCACTCACTTGGGTACAGGATGTCGGCCGTCTCAAAGTCATTCACCCGGCAGATGGGCAGAAACGAGTTCCTGGAAGATGAAGCGGGAAAACACTGAGCAGTGTACTGTCCATCACACACAAGCCAGGGACAGAAACGGCTTCTTCCCAACGACATTTCTAGATCTATAGTAGGGGTGTCGAACTCAATCAGAGAAGGGGCCAAAATCTAAAATCCAGCCTAAATCGCGAGCCGAATGGTTTACTGAACAGTCATAAACTGTCATTGTGATGGAAACGCAGCGGAGTGCAGTGATGACAGCACGGTTCGGGCCACATTGCAAGGCCTGGCGGGACGGATTTGGCCCGCAGGCCTTGTGTTTGACACATGTGATCTATAGTATAGAACTTCCAGCAGCAAAATGAACCTCAGGAGGGACGTGGCCTTGAACCGGGAAGCTGATGATGAGTTTAAACTTATAATCCAAAATGCACACGGTAGATTCTATACCGAACGTCAAAGGACACGTCAGCATCCCCTGTGGGACTGAACTGCCTGTTCTGTGCAGGGCGGGAGTGCCCAGGCTCAGTGGGAGGTCCAAACAAACAGCCCAACTCAAGGAGGTACTAGGACTCTTAAGAACATAACGCCTCCAACCATCTGGAAACTTCGATTCCAAGTGCACAGGTGGAGGCAGCGAGTCCCGCTCGCTGAAGGTCTACAATTTAGAATATACATGGGCTGGAGAGGAAGAGGGTGGACATTCCTCCCCAAAGGAAATCATGTCACTAAGAAAGCTTAAGGTAACGTGGATGGGTTAGACTAAGAAAATAAAACGACTCTACTCACAGGTGAATAAACAGGTTGCTGACGGGCAAGAAGCCTTCCATCAAGTGTGGGTACATGACGTCTGAGTTCACTGGCATCTAAAGGGAAAACCAGAAAATCTCAGTGACACATTAGCCTGACGAAACGAGGAAAGTCGTCAAGAAACCTCAACCAGAGTGAGATCAAATTATATTAACTCACCACTAAAGAAAAACAACAAATAGCACAGACCCTAGAGCTCTGGTTAATATGAACAGCGAGGTTCCCAGAGGGCGGTCAAGAGCGGTTCTCAACGCAGGAGGAAGGGCGGGCACTACACTAGCTTTTACGCGCTCCTAACCGCAGAACAAGCCAGGGCAGAGCAGGGCCTGTGTCAGAGCGGAGGCTCAGTGAGGTTTTAAACCACGTGCTGTGATGCGGGAGCATGTGCACCTCCAGGCAGCGCTCGGATGAGAAGCACATCTCCTGCTAGAAATGCCTACGTGCTGAGCTCAGCCGCCTCCCTCACGCCCCACCTCAGGGTACTTCTCCTACCGGACGCGGCTCGTCCAGAGAATAGCGGCTTGGAGCACCGGCCTGGGAACCTGCAAGTCAGAGGCACTGGGCCTCTCCCTGGGTGCTGCCGCCTAAAGCCGTCAGTACAAGCCCTCATTACGCCTGAGCTGCCTTTCTAAGTGCCATTCTACACAGCCTTCCTTTGTTACAAATACAGTGACCTGAGCCTGAGGGCGAGTGAGCAGAAAGGCGCCACCCACCATGTAGAAGTGCTCCAGGCGCGTGCCGTACACGATCTGCAGGGCCCTCAAGTAGATCATGTGCAGGACCTCGGGCTGCGGGAGAAGCACCTGTTAGTGCCGGTCACGACCGTCCTCACCACCCATAGCCACCACAGGAAAGGACAAGGCTGACCTCTGGGGCGGAGGGAGGGCTAGAAGGGGTCAATGGGGACATCGGTAATACTGTCAACCATCAAAATAAAAATTTTTTAAAAGACTGAAAAATTTCTCTTTTTCACTTAAAATATTTCCCTTCAAAGAGTTATTTTCCCAAATTTGAAAATGCCTTATATGCTTACCGTTTGCTCATAAGCAGTAAGGGGCTGGTAAGATGGGCTGCCTAAGCTCAGACACACTGAGAGCAAGTCACCCAAATCCAACGGAGCAGCCCCCACTGGGGAGGAGGGGCCAGCCTTCCCAAACAGGTGGCCCAGCCACTGGGTGTTCTTCTTCAGAAAGGAAAGGCCCCCAGGGAGGCCTGGGTGGTAAGGCTCCTTAGATGTCAGTTAGGGAGCACTGTGGCATGGTCTAAGTGGAATCGGGTGGGCTGGGATCGTCCCCAAATGCCGGCCTGTAGCGCTGTCCCAGCCCACGGAGCTGCATTCATCCTGGGAGCCTCCCTTTCATGTACAGAATTAAAGGGGCTGCAAGACCAGAACACTGCACTCCGCGCCATGAGCCAGGCCCGCCTGTGCCGTCACCTCACAGGAGCACACCAGGAGGCCCTGGGGTCGCTGCGCCACAGTTAGGTCATTCCCGCACCGAATAACTGCGGGCATGAGGAACAAGTCACGTCCCCGGGACACATGCAGGAAAGAGCCCGTGAGCTGTCTTCCAGCTAGTCCTGTGCTGGAGGCCCGAGGACACCGCAGAGCACCCCTGCAGCGACAGGAAGCGGGACAGACTGACTGTCCTGCTTTAGAAGCGAGTTCTCTTTGAGAAAAAAGGCCATACTAAAGAACCGAGTTGCCAGTGGAATGGAGACGTCACCCCACAGGTAAACTTACTTTAAAATGACACGAGGAGCGTCTCTGTGGCTTAAAACGACTGGTCGGCACCAAGTACCGGGCACAGGCCCCTCTCCACACCCGAGACCCAGCCTCCAGTCTGTTCTCACTCGTCCACCCACCCGCAAACAGCCCGTCTCACCTTGGGATTGGGATAAAGGTCACTCTTGGAGAGATTTTTACCATCAGCCCCGGTGAGGATTTTGTTCCGAACATGAGTCACAATCTCAGCAACGTTGTATCTGGGGAAAGACAAGGTCTCCATCCTGGGGCTCTCTGGCTAGTCTGCAGGAAGAAGAGCGGATGAGAGACGGGGCGGGACAGCAGCTCTCCCCGTCGGGAAGCGATGCCCACGGGGAACCAGGAGCCGAGCTGCCGGGCACAGGGTCCACGGGCACAGGGTGTCCAGGGGCACAGGGTGTCCAGGGGCACAGGGTGTCCACGGGCACAGGGTGTCCACGGGCACAGGTGGTCACAGCCAGCCACCTAACACCCCGGGCAGGGAGCCCAGTCTTTCACAACCACCTGCAGCTCCTAAGTCACTTCTGCTCTGAAGGAAGGAAGCCCTCTCCAATTCCCCCACGCTTTCTCTTTCATATGGTTGAGGAGATGAGAAAGCATGTTTTTCTTCTTTACATTGGGGAACACAACATCGATCCTGCGAATTAATCCTCAAAGGAAGGTGTGCAGCCAGCACCATCCTCAGAATCATGTGTAAACAATAGCAACACTGTTCTGACTCCACCTACTCCTGACAGCGGTGGGAGGGGTTAAGATGCAAGTAGCGAGGGAAAAACCTGGAGGAAGAACAAAGCACTGCGACTGGCAGGAGGTCTAACCACCACAGGCAACGTTAGAAAGCAAGACAGAAACACTTCGCCTAGTGTCCTCCTACATGATGGGGGCCCCTGTCCCGAGCGCAGTGGCCCTCACTGTTGCCCCCACTCCACCTGGCAGTGTGGGAGGCTCTGGTGGGGATGGCATGGGGTGCTCCTGCTCCAGCCCTGGGTGCGGACTGCTCAGGACGCGGTCAGGAAGCCCGTCTGCAGCCTGGCGCTCTCCGTGCCCCTGGCCGGCCTTCCGCTGCCTCCGCTCCGGTCCCAGCAGCCACAGAAGCCACTCTGACAGCCACACAATTTTCCTACCGAGGATCCGCACCCCCCGGGAAGCCGGAGCCCAGAGAGCCGCCCTGGGGGAACCAGCTCGCGCTGCAAACAAAGGGGAATGCGCTCTGGGCCACCGGCGTGGGCTAGGATCGTAGGCAAGATGGGCGGCAGCGTTCCCAGGGCTGAGGACTTCCAGCTCCGCTCCCCTGGGCACCCGCTGGGGACTCAGGAGCCCCACGCAGGGGCGGGGCGGGAACCCTCCGCAGGCTGCAGGCCCCTGAGCCCCGCTTCCCGTCACAGCTCCACAGAAGAGGGTGCCCCCATCCCGGTGCAGACGGCGCCCCGCAGCCACCAGGCGGCCCGGACACCAGGCGCCCGGCAGCCTTCCGTCCGCGGCGCTGGGCGAGGCAGGCGGACCTCCGCCAGGGTCTTTGGGCAGAACCTGCAGGCTCTCTCCTCCCACGTCGGAGGCGCCGCCCTGACAGCCCGGCCCGGGAGTCCGCGGAAAAAGGAGGCCTCGTCCCCGAAGGCCGCTCCGGGGGTGGGAGGCCGTCACGCCGGCGGGGTACGAGCGCCACGGCCCCGGGCGGGTCACGGCTGCGGGCGGGGGACGGGCTGCTGAGAGGCGCTCTGCCCGCAGGCGCCGCGGCTCCCCAACCCCCGGCCCGTGAGGCCCTGGACTGACACTTGGCCGGACCGAGGCGGCTCCGGCGGGAGGAGGACCATGGAGCCTGCCCCTCGAGCCCCGGTTATAACGCGACGTCAGAACCCTGCGCCCCTCACTGTCGCTGACGCCGGCGCCCACCTCCCCGCCTCCCGCCCGCGCTCACCGCGGGAGACGACGAGCCCGACGAGCAGCCACGGAAGGAGCCACCACCGCGGTGCTGACCGTTGTTGCAATTTAAACCCGCCGCCTGGCCCAGGGGCCCCGCCCCTTCCGCCCACTTCCGGTAACGGTCTCGCCGGAGGCCGTTGGGGCTCAAAAGACTGGAGCTGCGCGGGCGACGCGGCTCCAGCCGGAACCTTTCTCGGGGCCCAGGCATCCGGACGGGCCTGAACAGCGCCGGAAGTGGGCGCTGCGATCGGTGCGCGTCGGGGGCGGGGACGCTGCGGGGTCTTGTTGGCTTCCGTGGGTGCTCGCGCTTCTGGTTGTCCTTTGCGCTAGGTATCTATATTAGTTATGAATGAGTAGGTAAGCATATAATCTTGAGTATTTTCATTAGCATTTCGGTGCATAGATATTTACACATACTAGTTTATATTTTGTGATAAAGTTGGGGCTGCAGATACACTGGAAATGGAGCTGTACCTGCAACAGCAAATCCTGGGAGCGTTTTGAACGCCTGGCCTGGTCACTGGGTGGCGCTGTTGCACTAAGGAGGACCTGACACCGCAGCAGCTTTATTGCATTTTCTTCTGCACAGGTGAACAGCAATACACCCACAGACACGAACGCCGTTCCACGTGCGACCATTGAGTCCTACATTCACTGGCTCTGAAGTACGTGGGTAGAGTTTGGGCTGAGGAAGGAAGACGACGCTGGGCCCTGGCCACCTGTTCGCCTGCCAGCCGGCTCGTCCTCACTCCTGGGCTAGGGAACTGAGCTGTTTCACAAGCCCTCAAACAGTGCCTTTGCTAAGAACTCCAGCGGAACTTTCACTCAGAAACCATAAAACAAATGTTCTTTGCTAAACTCATTTGGGATGAGCTGTAAACCAGGTCCAAGGAAGCAAAAACTTCCACATCAAGTTACATGATTCTAACAATCAATAGAGAGAATCCCAAATTAATTGGGTAGTGATAAAATATATTTATCCAACGTGACTTTAAAAAAAAACAAACAGTTTTTAATGCTCTGGGGTTTCAACAGTGGTTTTATTATACCCTATGATGTTTCCAGTTATTATAAGGTAGCTAATAAGACTCTCGGGGAAGATAGTAGTATTAAGGCACATTAATGTTAAAATTAGTCATTTATCACACGGATTTTGGGGGAAAGGAAGTTTTATAAAATGAAGCCAATGACAGTGTCACAAATCAGAAAACCTGGGAGTAAGCAGCTCTCTGGCCACGGAGCCTCTGTGCAGAGGTCTCTGAGCTCACGTAACTCCAGCAGGACCCTCGGAGGAGAGCACTTCTCACTCATCTTCTGTTCCTGGCTCCAAACCCTGTTTCCTCTCTAAAAGGAGACTAGTATTTTCTGACAATGTTTCTGTGCAAGTACCAGGTAACATCATCTCATTTCACCCCTAGTGTTTGGAGGGGAAAACTCCATTTTTATCCCCCTGTTTTTTAAGCAAGCTCAGCCTGGTGAACAGGTTGACCAGCAGGCTCAGCCTGGTGAACAGGGTGACCAGATACATTCAAAATTGGTACCTGAGTATTGTCCCTTGGATAGCCCATTGAGATAAGATTTACATATCATTTGCATATGACACTTAATAATAGCAGTGATAGCTCACATTCATAAATGATGTCCGAGGTCCTTTCCAAGGGTTACTTCATTTAATTCTCACGGCAGAAAGTAGTTCCTATTTCCATTTTTCAATGACAAACGAAATGAAATTCCTTAAGAAAACGAGCAATGTGCTCATAGTCATGTATCTAGGAAACAAAGGGACCAAAATTTGAACCTTAGCGATGTAACGGTAGAAACTCTGCTCTGGCTACTTACTGTGCTGCCTGACCTTGAACCCACATGGCAGTGCCAGACACCTGCTTTTTATGTACAATCCACGATTGTGCCCCTGGGTCCTCCCAGCAAGGACTGTATCCACAGTGGAGCGTTGGAATGCCTTTCCCGGGGGCAGGTGGTGGCTCCTGAGAAGACCTCTGCGTTTCCCTGGCCTCTCTCCTCCCTTCTCCTGCCATCCAGCTTTGAAGAAATGGGCCTGGGAAGAGGGCAGGGCCGGGGGCAGGCCTGCCAGGCTCCGCCCTCCTGTTTCAAACCTGCAAGTCTGTGTTTGATAAGCAGACGTGACAGAAAGTGCAGAGTGTGCACACAATGCCATTGGAGAAGTGAAGAAGGGGGCCTGGTGCAGGTGGTCATGGGAAGAATCACGTGTTGGGTCTGTGATGCTGTGTCTCCAGCGCTCCAGCCGGGAGTGGCCTTCCCAGCAGGGGCTTCGGGCTGGCACACGGCACACAGGTCAGAACACGTGTTCGCTCACAGGACTGTCCAGTGTCCCCTCCGGCTCCTCACTGGACTCCGCCCTCCAGTCATCAGCCACTGCGTTGGCTGCCATGTGCTTAGAAACTTTCTGTCCATACATGTAAGCAGAACAGTGATGTAACAGGTGTGCATGGCCCGCCTATTGTAAGCAGAAGCTCTGTGCCAGTGGTCAGCAAACTCATTAGTCCACAGAGCCAAATGTCAACAGCACAATGATTGGAATTTCTTTTGAGAGGCACATTTTTTAAACTTAAACTTCTTTTAACACCACTTCTTCAAAATAGACTCGCCCAGGCCGTGGTATTTTGTGGAAGAGCCACACTCAAGGGGCCAAAGAGCCGCATGTGGCTCTTGAGCCACAGTTTGCAGACCACGGGTCTGGAGTTTCAAGAACCAAACAGCCTCCTCTGAACACCATGGCATCACCCTGATGCTGGCCATTGGGGCCGAAGCCAGGGTGTTTGCTGGAAGCCTGGATGCCGTCAGGTGGGTTCCAGGACCTGGGTTTGGGGAGGGGGAGCAGAAATAGGAGAGGAAAGGCAGTGGGGGAGGAGGGGGGGGCGGGAAGGGAGACCAGAGAGAGCGAGAGGCACACCCCCATCTGGGAAGCAGGAGGGCAATGCTTAACAGCCATTTCTCTGGGGTCAGAGGGCCAAGGTCAAATCTGTCACCTTGTTAAACAAGGAAGATACTAGTCCAGCCGCCAAAGAGTTATATTGAAAATTAAATAAATTTGTGCATGTAAATGGGTCAGAACATCCAAGTGGTAATCGTTTTATAAGTGTTACCCATTAGCCTCTGAGTCAGCCTCTCCGAGCTGGAGGGCGTGTGGTGGATCAGCTCACACGCTTCAGCCAGAACGGCCTCAGTGCCTACTGTTCCTCCGGCCGCCAGCCCCTGCCTGCACTGTGACGTCATCGCCGTCTCTGGAGTCTACACTTCTTTTAAGGAGATAATAGCACAAGCTCCTCCCTTTCCCCAATCCTATGTGATTTCCACTTTCTTTGTTTTTGTTTGTTTGCTAACCCTCCTCTGAGGATACCATTCCATTGACTTTTAGAGAGAGTGGAAGGGGCGGGGGGGAGAGAGAAACATCCATGTGAGAGAGACATTAATCCGTTTTGTCTAGTTTGTGCCCGACTGGACTGGGGATGGAACCTGCAACCCAGGTACGTGCTCTTGACCAGGAATTGAACCCTCGACCCTCCCGTGCACAGGTCACCACTCTGACCACTAAGCCATACCTGCCAGGTTCACTAATGGAACATATCATCTTCCCATTTAATGTTCAGTCATATTTTTTAATGTAACATCTGGTGTTTTCTTTATTCAAAGTGCCATCAAGGAAATGCTCATACTATTTTCTTAAAAGGCAGGACTTACTATTTGCCATTACTTACTGTGCCCGCCTCCAAGGTGAGACCTTGGGAAACTTGCAAGTTTTTAAAATTATATTCCTGTGCTCTGGCTGCTTCGGCAAGTGGCTACATCAACTGTCTGAAATCTGTGATCCCTCGAAACAGCACTGGGAAGAGAGGGAATGATCCAGAGGAAACTGTGCCGGAATTGAGCCGGAAAAGTGTCCGCCTCCCTGGGGACCTCCCCGTCCCCCCATGCCCAGGAGCCCCCCACGGAGCCGCTCTCGCGGGCCTGTGTAGAGCGCCCGTGCCCAGGGTCTCAGGGTGCTGTGGTGGCCTGGGTGACTCCCCCTGTGGGGTTCAGGTGCTTCTGCGCATGCGGCGGGGCTCCATGTGTTTGTGTTGTTCCCAGCTCGCTTCCTAAAGCTGACTTCTGGCTTCAGGCCGCTGTGCTGGGCAGTGGCAGCTGGATGTGGTTTCAGTCTGCATGAGTTTATTGGGTGGGTTTTTAATGTCTTAAATGTGATCTGTCCCAGAGAATGGACCAGGAACACTTGATAAAAAGTCTTGTGCGGTTTTGGGGTGAAAGGGCCATTAGGTGGATCTCATCTGATAGGATATTTAAAGCCATCGACCTTATTAATCTCCCCCAATGTCTATCCACCGATGAGCGGGACGTGAACGCCCACCAGGACATGCCGTCCGTCTCTCCCTGAGTGCCCACTAGCCATTGCATTGCTGTGCCAGGTGCTCCGCTGATGGGTGCACAGACACATCCCATTGGGTGCCCTCCCCTCGGATCGGCCCCTTCGGAGTGATGCAATGTCCTCTTGGTCCTTTAGACACTTTCTGTTTGACAGACTCTCTGGTCTGATTTAAGAATTGATACTCCAGCTTCCTTTCTGATTCTATTTGCACATAATATCTTCCCCCATCCCTTTCCACCTGTGTGTATCTTTCAATTTGAAGCTAGTCTCTTACAGGCAGCATATACGTGGGTCATAATTTTTAATCCATTCTGCCTCCCTATCTATTTCTATGTGAACATTCGGTCGATTTACCTTTAATCTGACCAGGAGAAGTGAGAACATCTCCCCACAGGACTCACACAGACATTCACAGCAGCGTCAGCTATGCTCCTGCCATCGGAACCCCCGCTGGCGAGCAGCCCGGAGTGAGCGTCCACTCAGAAGTCAAAGGGAAATGTGATGAGTGCCATGTCCCCATTAACCGTATGTGACGTGGGAAAGAACCCACACACAAACACTTCACGTGTGTGGCTCCATTCATATAAAGTGGCCAGAAAAGCAGACACAGAGACAGAAAGCGGTGCTTGTCTGGGAAAGTCGTGGAGGTTGGCAATGACAACAGCTCGTTCACAGCGATGGTTGCAAAACTCCTTCCTTTAATAAGATCGTTGA